TACCATTGCCGCGGGGTTTGCTTGAGGCCATACAAACTTTTCTTCAATTTGCAAACAAATTTCTTTTTCCCTTTTTCCACAAAACCTTCTGGTTGCTCCATGTAAATTTCTTCTTCAAGATCACCGTGAAGAAATGCGGTCTTCACATCAAGTTGCTCAACTTCAAGGTTCATACTTGCAGCCATGACAAGTACAACCCGAATAGAAGACATCTTCATAACCGGCGAGAAAATCTCATCAAAGTCAATACCTTTCTTTTGCCCAAAGCCTTTCATAACAAGATGTGCTTTGTACCTCAGATTCTTACTATCATTCTTCAATTTGAAAACCCACTTATTTTTCAGAATTTCCCCCCCTTAAGCAACTTCACTAAATCATAAGTGTGATTTTCAAGTAAGGAATTCATCTCCTCTTCCATTGCCTTTTTCCAACCATCTTTCTTTGTATGCTCAATTGCTTCTTGGTAGCTCTCAGGCTTCCCTTGATCGGAAATCAACATAAATTCATTGGGAGGATACTTTCTTGAAGGTTGTCTGTCCCTTGTAGATTTTCTCAACTCAAGTTATGGTGGCGGTTCTTGAGTTGGATGCTCTTCCTCAATTTTTGGCTTAAGTTCATTAGGATTAGTATCATCCTCTGTATCTTCAGTAGGTGGTTGCACATTTCCCTCTAAATGTTGAAAAGTTTACAGACTTTAAAAAGGGAAATTGAAAAGAATCCAGATTTATGGTTCAGAGTTGATGATTCTTGGTTTAGTTTTCCCTCTAAATTTTCCTATATTTTCTCAAAAACAGGACAAAGTTTATGATTCTTGATTTCTGGTTCTACTATTTGATGGGTGTAGACACCCCATTTTTGACCGTCCTCAAGACTTGGACGTCATCGCTTGAACACTCGGTGATCATCCATGTTCGTGTTCGGCTTGAGTTCCCGGAGGTTTCGGCCACATGCCCTGCCTCAGGATCTCTCGACTCGACTGTTTTGTGCTTGGTTTTGCACCAGACACTTGTGTTTTGCCTTTGAGGGGCAGGGAATGGCTTGTTGGCCATCCCCACACTCCACCGGCCATGGCTTATGGCCACCGGCTGTGTTTTGTTTCCATCGGCCAAATGTTTGGCCGACCGGCACTCTAGATGGTCGACCGGCCATCTATTTTGGTCAAATTGCATTTTTGGCTGGCCGACCACTATTCATCTGCTTTTGCAGATATTTTTATGCCAGCTGTGCTAGCTGGCATACACTTTACTCCCCTCCGTATATGGAGGGATCTTCCTCTTGACTAGCTTACTTGAGAAGATTTGCAAGAGTGAGCCCTATAAGAAGGAGCCTCTTCTCCCTCCATTAGGGTTGACAAAAAAAGCTCCAGAGCTCTGAGTTTTAGGGTTAGGGTTTACATATACTCTATCTCTATATCTCTTCCTCCTTTTGGTGTATTAGTGTGTGTTTGTTCTTACTATTGCACACAAACACCTACCATTACACCTTTCCTTAGTTGCTGAGGCATTAGAGGGTTGATCTTGAACTTTTTAAGCTAGTTTTGATCCAAGAAGAGGTCTGATCTTGTGATCTTGGAAGGGTTCTTCAAGAGTGAGTGTTCTTTCCCTTTATTTTCCATTTTTGCATAGCTTTTTTGACTACCTTACACCTGTTTTCGAGCTTAGCTTATAACATATAAAAGTCTTGTTTTTGCTTGCTCTAAATATTTGTTTAAGAGTGTTTTGTTGTTTGGGGTTATTTGACCCCTCTTAGGCCTTGTTTGGCTCTATTTTTGTGCTATTTTGGTGAGCTCCGGGACCACTTTCTTTGGGCCTCCTCACCACTGAAATCTTTAGGGATTTCAGTGGTGAGGATGGTGCCTTAAGGTCCTAAGAAGGAGAGGCCCACCCCATATCCTTGTTGTCCTTGAAAAGGTCCATTTTTATCTCATGTGTGAGCACCTAGTTTAGGTTCATGTTGACCATGCATTAACTGTTATTTGGTGGTATTTTGCCATGTATTACCTCTTTTCATGTTGGTTTAGACACACCTTGCATGCCTTGCATACATGTCTTGTAATGCCACATTTTTGCCTTAACATGCTTTAGGTTTAGACCCTTGTTCTAGCATGATTT